GCCCGCATCGACAATGGAGGCAGAGAATATGGTCCACTCGGGCTCAATGTCTCCAACCTCCCCCGGGATCTGGTCAAAGCTGCCGGAGGTGGGAGTTGAAGATCTCTCTGACAGGGGATTCTGCTAAACGTTCCCAACAGACCCTCACAATATGTTTGGGTCTGCTGAGCCTGTCCAGCGTTCTCCCCCGCTATCGGATCCAGCTCACCACCAGGTGGTGATCAGTTGACAGCTCCACCCCTCTCTTCACCCGAGTGTCCAAGACATACAGCCCAAGGTCATATGAAACAACCACAAAGTCAATCATTGACCTCTGGGTGTCCTGGTGCCATGTGCACTGATGGACACCCTTATGCTTGAACATGGTCTTTGTTATGGACAAACTGTGACTAGCACAGAAGTCCAATAACAGAACACCACTCAGGATTAGATCGGGGGGCCGTTCCTCCCAATCACGCCCCTCCAGGTGTCACTGTCGCCGCCCACATGAGCGTTGAAGTCCCCCAGTAGAACAACAAAGTCCCCAGTCAGGGCATTTTCCAGCACCCTTCCCAGGGACTCCAAGAAGGCCAGGTACTCTGCACTGCCATTTGGCCCATAGGCACAAACGGCAGTGAGAGACCTATCCCCGACCCGAAGGCTCAGGGTAATGATCCTGTAGTTCACCGGGGTAAACTCCAACACATTGCGGCTAAGCTGGGGGTTATTAGCAAGCCCACACCAGCCCGCCGCCTCTCACCATGGGCAACTCCAGAGTAGTAGAGAGTCCAGCCTCTCTTGAGGACTAAGGTTCCAGAGCCCAAGCTGTGCGGCGAGCTGAGCCCAACGATATCTAGGCAGTACCTCTCAACCTCCTGCCCAAGCTCGGGCTCCTTCCCCACCAGCGAGGTGACATTCCATGTCCCCAGGGCTAGTCTCTGTGTCCAGTGATCGGGTCATCGTGCCCCTGCCTTCGACTGCTGCCCAATCCACTGTGCACCGGCCCCTTATGGATCCTCCTGCAGG